CAATTGCATTGAACGCCAGATTGTATGCAATCATAAACTTATATAATTTATACAAAAATAAAAAACATTGGATTTGTTTATAAATTTGACATCAAGTTTATGTCAATAACTGATTGTAATTATATAATACATACAAATGACTCATATCATCACCAAATCAGACAAATATTTCATACAAACTACACATTCATTGGAGGAAAAGTGAGACAAAAAAGACAAAGAGTGGGAAAATAAGAGAAATTGTGGGATAATTGGTGTGGAAGTGATTAAGTGATAGTTGTGTACCTGTGGGTAAGTCATGGTGAAGAACGACTCCAAGTTAGTGAACAAATTGGGATCAATACCGACCAATGGTTTGATGATAGATACGCCTGGGAGTGGTGTTTCAGACACTCCTATCACTTCGACCTTCTTATGGAGTTTCCGTTTGCTTCACAAACATAACAAATGAATGGATTAGGCGTTCATATAATGGTGGACATGGAGGACATACCCGTTGAATATGGCCATGAGATGCATGACCCATACGAAGAGCCAGCCGCTCACGAAGAATACGGCCAATGCGTACAGACTTATGTCTAGTATGCGAGCCATTGGAGGGCTGACCGGCCGGTGGTTGAGGCCTATCCTATACTATGGCACCAAACCATCACTCATACCATCAAACCATTCAAACCATTGCCGACTAATGTCTGCATTGAGAGTGAGAGTCAATGCTTAAGGACTGTACTGTCATTGCATTCAATCAAACCGACAAATATGTCATCAGTTGTCATGACAACCACACCAACACTACACACCTCTCACACCTCTATCCACTCTCGCCAGACATACCGTCTCTCCAATTGGTCTCACTATCAGTGCTGTACTATTGACACACTTTTTCCACTTTCATTAACAAACCATTTCATTAACCAACACAACTACCCATTGTAACCATCATCAAAGTGCAGTCTTTCCCCCACCTGTGCACCAATTATACTACAAACAAAACATTTTTAATCAATGTACAATTTCAATTCACTTACAATCACTACCATACATTTCAATGACATTATGCTAGTCCACCTACCATACTCATGTCAAATTACTGTCACTTGTTTTTATTATTTAAAAATGACTTTAATTTACTTTTTACAATAACTTTTTAAAAATAGTTGTGTCAACAAAATCTAAATGACATTATGCTAGTCCACCTACCATACTCATGTCAAATTACTGTCACTTGTTTTTATTATTTAAAAATGACTTTAATTTACTTTTTACAATAACTTTTTAAAAATAGTTGTGTCAACAAAATCTGCTTTTAGTTAAAATTTTTAATTATTTGACTTTTTCTATTGACTTACAAAAAATATTTGTTTGACTTTAACATAATATGTTATAGAGTACAGACTAATGTAGTAATTGTAACACAATATTAAACATTTGATTCATGCAATCATTAAATGCAATCATTAATAAATAGGCACTGAATGTGCGTTTGGATGACAATCGCATGAACTGATGGCTTCATTCAAGTCATTATTTGCATTGATTTCAAGTTTGAATAAAACAAACAAATTAAGCAAACATTATATTCATATATAGAGCCTATTGTAGTCTCCAGTCATCGGATTCATCGATTTCACACTGAATAGTAGCGAAATCTAATGGTCTCTCATCTCTATTCATCTTATTATCATCAGTGATGCGGCGATTGAGGGGCGAGTAAGACAGCGAGTCCTTATCGAACCAAAGTGGCACTTTACCAAGGTCACCATCCCATCGGTTCTTCGTGATCTGCACGTATTTGTGACACTTGTATACAGACAACCACTTGTTCTGCACAATCAACACATTGTCCGCCTCTTGAGTGGCTTTGGCGCCGCCGAAGATGGAGTTGTTGTTCAACTCATTCATGTCGTCCTCTTTGCGCGGATGCATCACAAGCGAGACGTGACAGTCATATCTTGTGGCGAATTTGCGGAACTGGTCTAAGACGAGGTCCTGTTGCCAGTAGCGGTCAAACTTCTGGTTGGGGGACAGGCCTAACATGAACTGAATGTTATCGACGATCACGTGCTTCACGTCGTGCACCTCAACGCCGTAAGTCATGGCCGCCAACACCTTATCGATGGATTCCTGGCCGTGAAATGTCATGAAGTATAGGGGCAGCGCTTCCATGGCGTCCGCCCACACGTCAAACTCATCCAAGTGTTGGTCGATGTGTTTGCCGGCCATCTGAGTGATCATCATTTTAGCCAAACGCACGTTCTTTACCTCAAAACTGCCCCACAATGTGGTCACCCCTTGACTGCACAGATCCAGTGAGTACTCCGACATGAATGTAGTCTTTCCGCAACCGGTGGCACCCGTGAACACCGACAGCTCACCACTCCTGTGGCCCTTCAAGAGTTTGTTCAGCTCTGGGAAGCGCTTCCATTGGACGCCACAACACTTCGGGTCTTTCATTTCATTCAGGATCTCCTCTCTTAGGCTCTGAAATGTAGTGATGGCTGAATGGCACGACTTCTTGGCCGATGGCTTGTCCGACGGTTTCGACACATTCCTCAGAGTATCACTAAATTTAGTAATCAATGGTTTGTCGCTGTCTTTCAATGTGTTCACTGATCGCGTGTTTTGTCCATTAATTGTCAACAACTTATATCTCAATAAATCATGTCTTTTGACACATTTATTAACGAAATAACAAAAACGGTTCACAAATATGTCATTCATTTGTCTCTTATATCAATTGAGACCACAATTCAAATAAAACACTGTTTTTAAGGCCGGTATTAAACATGTGTTAAATCAGTGCTAATCGTAAACAAAACAAAACAACACTTTTCGCGCAAATTGTGTTCAATTCATAAATACTGAGTGAAAGGGTTTGTGAGACGTAATGATAAGTCAATGACTGTCTGTCAGCTCAGAGTGACGTAATTAATGGTGGAGTGAGTGGACAGACATCTAGCGAGTGGTCGGACATTGAGTGAAGGGTTGGGCAAAGAGTGTGTTGTTGTGGTTGGACTCGAGTGACAGTGTCTGAAGAGGACACCAATTGACTCATTGTTTACTTAATTAGTGCCAAATCGCGACCACCGAAGACAATGAGGCCATTAGTTCCGTCTCAACAGAAATTGGCTGAAAAGCTGACAGTTCTTAACGACAGTCTGAAGAGGACACCAATTGACTCATTGTTTACTTAATTAGTGCCAAATCGCGACCACCGAAGACAATGAGGCCATTAGTTCCGTCTCAACAGAAATTGGCTGAAAAGCTGACAGTTCTTAACGACAGAGGAATAGGAATGTTGACCAGGATTTACAACATTAAGAAGGTTTGTCACCATTGAGTCCATGGGGTGATGGCATGTGTTGACAATTGTCTCCTATGTATGTCTAGGCTTGTGGTGACTCCAAGTCGAAGCCATCGTTTCTGTCGGACAAGACACTGGAGTCGGCCATAAAACATGTGATCCGCCGGTTCCCCAACACCGACATCAGAGGCAATAGTGTATGCATTGAAGACATTCACTGATTTAGTGATCATTTGATAACCCGATTACATGTTTACCACATTTCAGAGCCAATTGGGAGCCGTCTTCAACATAAGACAAGACATAATGAAGTCTTTGTCGTTATATTATTATACTTTCGTCGACCTCTTGGACTTCAAAGACCACGTGAGCGAACTGCTGACAACTATGGACGCGTGTCAGCTACAGCTGGACATCGTATGTCTTGATTGCCACCATTGTCTATATCCTATGTATTAAATGGTGTGATTGGTTGACAGGAATTCAACTTCGATATGACGAAAGCATATTTGGATCTAATCGTGACATATGTCTCACTAATGATTCTGTTGTCTCGAGTCGAAGACCGGAAGGCAGTGTTGGGTCTCTTCAATACGGCTCATGAGATGATTCATCAGCACTCGGACAACAGTTTCCCGCGTTTGGGACAATTGATTGTCGACTACGACCCGCCACTCAAGAAGTTGTCCGAAGAGTTCATTCCTCACTCGAAGCTCTTGTGTCAGGCGCTCACATCACTTCATAAGGTGTTTCCGATGCGTAACCTTCCGGCAGATGAGTGGCGTAAGTGTCAGTTACTGAGTCTTGTGGCCAATCCCTCGCAAATGCTGAATCCGGCGCAGACCGACATAATTCAGTGCGAATACCTGTCCATCGATACTATGGAGCGATATATTATATGTGAGTTATTCACACAAACATTAATTTGGTTCAGTTTCTCATGTATTTACTGTTTATATGCGAACCACAGACGGCTTCCTATTGATTCACCAGTACTTGAATCAAGCAATAACTCAGGATCTGTTCACAAAAGCTCTGCACTGCGGATGGGTTACCACTCTGTTCAGGGATGAAGTACTCCATACGCACGCATTCATTCAGCAATACTTTGAATCACATAAGGGTTACAACAAAAGAGTCTCTGAAGTGAAAGACGCCTACAATTGGGTTCTTCAGCACAGGTTTGTCATCCACTTCTAGCATAAGATTTGTTGAAAACTGAACGACTTTTGTCCCCAAAGCGGACACATTCATAGAGAGCGGCGAAAATTTTTGCGAACAGCGCTTAAAGAGTTGGGTCTCATTCTGACGGACCAACCGGGACTGTTAGGTCCCAAAGCATTGCTCGTATTCATGGGACTGTCATTCGCGAGGGATGAGGTTTACTGGCTTTTAAGACATTGCGATAATCCTCCCGTCAGACAAGGAAAAGCCAAATCACAATCCGATGATCTGATTGATAGACAACTTCCGGAACTGCTCTTCCATATGGAGGAGTTGAGAGCTTTAGTGAGAAAATATAATCAAGTGATACAACGATATTATGTCCAATACCTCACCGGTTATGACGCCATAGCTCTCAACCAAATCATGCAAAACGTCTCAATGATGCCCGAAGAGGACTCTATAATCTTAGAGTCTGCCCATCAGGTTATCTCCAACCTGTCCGTCAAACAGGTCGAGAACAACGAACTCTTTGACTTCAGAGGCTTAAGACTCGATTGGTTTAGACTTCAGGCCTATTGCAGTGTCAATCGATATCCAATGCATTTGTTTGAACACAAAGATTTAGCCGTTTTGTTGAATACTATTATATTTCACACCCGAATGGTTGACGATTTGGACCAAATTATTACCGAAACCTCCGATGTATCTCTTTTCTGGTGCGATAACTCTGTAGTGTTTATCTCAGTATTTGTTTTAATTTATGGTTTCTTTAGCTTTTTCAGTAAACTATTTGACGATCAGTTCCACATGTGTTTGGAATTCCCGGCGCAGACCCGATATATCGTTGCATTCCCTCTCATATGCAGTCACTTCATGAACTGTACGCACGAGCTCTGCCCCGAAGAGGTATTTCCTGTTTAGAAATCATTGTTAACTTGTAATTACACGTTATGTGAACCTATAATAGCGCCATCATATCGGTGACCGATCCCTAACAATGGTTAACGGATTTCTGGATGAGATGTCTAAAGAGGCAAAGAATATAATCACAACTATTTGTGACGAACAGTGTCTCCTATCAGATAAGGTTTGCTGCTTATGGTTGGTCTGAATTGTCTGTAACTGTAATCTCGTTGCAGTTGTTGCCCAAACATGTGGTCCCATATTTGGCACAATTGTTGACCAAAAAGAAGAGCAATAAGAAGAGAGATAAAGTACTCCAAGAAGAGGACAAACCCGGGTCTGAGAGCTATCGCAGGAGTAGAGAGGAGTTGACAACGTATGGCATTGACTTAGAGTCATGTAAAGAGTAGTTGTAATGAGTTGTGTTTGGCTATAGTATGGATAAACTGCATATGGCTTTGACTGAACTGTGTTTTGCAATCAACTATTGCGGAACAATCCTTGTGTGGGACCACACATTCGCTCCGCGAGAATATTTGACACAACACTTGGAAACGCGATTTAATAAAGCATTGGTGGGAATGGTTATGTATAACCCGGAGACTAATGAAATCGCCAAGCCTTCCGAACTGTTAGTGTCGGTGCGATCCTATATGAATGTATTGCAAAGCATCGAAAACTACGGTAATATATGAGTAAATTGTGTATTGAATACGATTTATGACTTATCATGTCATTTCAGTACATATCGACATCACCCGTGTATTCAATAATGTTTTACTACAACAAACTCAGCCACAGGACAGTCATGGAGACAAAACCATTACCACTCTCTATACGAACTGGTATTTAGAAGTACTGTTGCGAAGAGTAAGCGCCGGACATATCTGTTATTCGCCGATTCAAAAGGCATTCGTCACTCTTATGATCGACGGACAGATCCCCTTCTGTGCCGAAGAGTTCTCTGATATCAATGGTTAGTGTTTGACCGCAATATATGGGTTACTGTAGGCTTAAAAATCAAATGATTTTGCTTCAGAACTTCGAAGTTTGGCTGAACTGATCGGACCCTATGGTATGAAATATCTGAATGAGAGCCTTATGTGGCACATCGCCAGCCAAGTGACCGAACTTAAGGTGATCTCTATTTAGTGATATTTATGTTTAAAATTTAACACTTGTTTCGTTTGAACGCTTAGAAATTGGTTGTACTAAACAAAGATGTATTGGTAGGCCTGCGCTCTAATTATGATAAACCAGAACAGATGAAAGAGTTATTTAGAAGACTGCAAAGTAAGTGATTTGTTACTTATTGGCTAATATTCAGTGCAATAATTATAATTTATCGCTATTTTAATGCTTCTAAAGGACCGAAAATATCTCAAAGTATTTCCTTTTTTGCTCTATACATACATTTTACATTGCTTAAACTAAACATTAATTGTTTGACAAATGAATTAATTATATGGTTATGTGACAGATGTTGATAGTGTTCTGCAAAGAATGTCAATCATTGGAGTGATTATTTGCTTCCGAAGTCTGGCTCAGGACGCACTCAATGATTGTCTGTCAGAACGGATACCATTCCTCTTAAGTTCTATCGTTGACTTCAAACATCATGTCATGAATGGAGACTCAATGGTATGTCATTTCTCTATAACTCATCCTAACTTATCTTCTAATCTTCTAATTCTTTGGAACCATTGCTTCTTTTGCTCACTTTCTTCCTTTTGAATGACAGCTCGAAAACATCAAATTACAGGTATTTCTCACTCTTATTCTCCAACTATTTGACACTTTTCTCAAATGTTTCTCATTTTAAACTTGATTGCAATTATACGCTTAATTAACTTAATAATAACGACTGGCCTTATATTAGATCGTGAGTGAGATGGCGAGTGCGACCGGTCTTCCCTGTAAAGTAGATCCAGCGCTAGTGAGTGCCCTTCGCTCTCAGAAATGCGGTAATAAATGCATTGTTACGACAAATGTCCGCAAATTATAATTTGTTTGTTTGATTGCATCGCAGAGTTGGGTGAAGACGAGTACCAAATGGCATGTCTTCTAATGGTGTTCATCGCTGTATCGCTTCCAAAGTTGGCTCGAAATGAGTCCTCATATTACAAGCCGTCACTCGAAGCGCACGCCAATAACGTTCACTGTTTGGCGCACGCCATCAACGGCATCGCCGGCGCCCTCTTCACCATCTGTGGGGTCAACGACATCGAGGAACGGCTGAAGGAGTTCTTAGCGCTGGCGTCGTCCAGTCTGTTGCGCTTAGGACACGAACCCGACAAAGAAATGGTGAGAAATCGAGAATCCATTTACCTGTTGCTCGATATGATAGTACAGGAAAGTCCGTTCCTCACTATGGATCTGTTGGAGTCGTGCTTTCCGTACGCTTTACTCCGCAACGCATACCACGCCGTCTATAAGTCTGACGGCTCGGCGCTCGTCATCTAATCTTATATTTTATACCACTTTTTAATATAATTTGTAAATTTTTACTATAATTTTATTTAAATTGAATTAATTATTGAATTATTCTTTTTATAAATAATGTATAAAATGAAATACTAATCAATCGATCACTTTATGGACGGGAAATAAATTTAAGCTCTTCTTATACTTAACGATATCATCAATAAAATTGTGTTTTTCGTCCAAATTCTTTGGCTTCACATAAGTTAACCGGAATCTCTTGAATCTCTGCTCCGGGTCTTCAATCTCAGCGCTCTGTTCTTCGGGCGACTCTTTCTTGAGGTCCAAAGTTTTGCCGTCAAAAGTCAGACATTCAGCCAATGATTTCTTGCCGTAACCCACAATCTAAACACAAATACCGATACAACAAACATTGCATTATAAAGATGACCACAAATACGGGTAATTCTCACGAGTATTAAGAGACTCATTACCTGAATGCTAAGCTTTCGTTTGTTAGTTGTTTTGTTTGCGAGGATTTGATTGCACGACCACTCCTTGAACTCATCGAATGTGATCTAAATGTAATGAAGTGGTCATAAGTATAGGCACTCATCAATCGGATTCAAATGGATTACCTTTTCTAAACACTTAACCTCTTTATCCAATCGATCGAAACAATAGTTAAAAGAAATAATTTCATTCCAATTGCGATTGAATTCATCGCCGAGTTTAAGATCGGGAACCTTTTTCGATGTGATAATCGAGTGGATGTGCTCTTTGAATTTATTGCCATCCATTTTGGTGATGATGTCAATCATTTGTTTAATGAAATTCTCGATTCTCTGGTCAACGAAACTGCAGTCAAACTCATTGCCAGACGAGACGACCGTCACTCCAAAGCCACTGATGCCATACGTGTCGTAATCAGTGGCCGACACGTAATAACCCAAACCCTCTTTGGTCCGCAATATGTTAAAACAGGGCTCTTCCATGAGGGACGACAGCACTGATAGCATACACTGCAGCCGAATGTTGGCTGGAATTAATTGGTAATAATTAGTGACCGAAGAGTTCCGATTGGTTGGCGACAGAGACACCACTCGACAGAAGCCATTTCCCGGTGGGATCTGAGCCGTCATCAGTTTGGGCTCTTCCAGGCTTTCAATATGTGAGTCCAGACCTAATCTGCTCTCTATTTCGGTCATTAAAGCAATGGATTCTTCTCGAGTCATATTTCCTTGAATTAAGCTTTCGATATAGAAATTAGAGAAATATTTCGAAACAAACGTTTGAAGAGTTTGTTTGTTAATAGAGTTGAGAACATCTCTTCGGTCCACGAAATGGTAGTACTTTTGGCTTAAAATCGTTAGCCGTAGAGACATATTCAGGTTATTGGCGTCTATGAATGAGTTGTGGTATTCTTTGGACAAGTGTTTCTTCATGTCATCAAACACTTTGTCCTCGACTTCAAAGTTAATCATTTTGTTTAGAATACATTCGAGTAAGAGATTGAGTTTGTGGTTAAATCCGGAGACTGTTATCACTAGACCTGTGGTCGTCTGCGATAAACTCCAGTAAAGACCGGCCAAAGAGGCATCGTATACCTCTTCGCTCAGGTTTTGCATCAGAATCTCGACAAAGAGATCAATCATTATAGCGCTCTCAACGGAATCACCAAAATATGGAGATATGAGATGCAGTTTCATCACTGCTTTCGGAAGTTTGAACTTATTATCCGATTTATACCATAGCTTTACTCTCTTTTTATCCAACACTTTGGTTGGATATAAGGGTTTCCCATCACAACCACTGACTTTCTTGATCTCAAAATCGGTTGCAACGTATGGGTTGGGGTTTGGGAATTGGAAACGAGTCGATGAATAGCTCTTAAAAGCTAACCATTTTGGTGGCACTTCGTTGACCGCATATTTGGTCCCAAACCAGTTCTCAACTCTGATATCTTTGCGGTCTTTCAACACATTTGTCAACAAACGCACGAATGAGGCGTTGTTTGGCGTCAGGAGATTGAGGTAACTCTGGATGAGTTCTTTGTCGAAATCGAAGTACTTATTGCCACACAAGACATATTCAGTGGGCAAGTGATTCCAATTGTTGGCCAACTTCTTCACATAATTAATGGCCGTCTGTTCCTCCTGCCAGTCGAACGCATTCCTCTCGATTCGCTTCATCTCATCGAAGAACCACTCCTGAGGTCCCACTCTCTGCAAGACATTGAGGTATTCGAAGACATACTCCACTACTCTATCGATGTTCTTATTCCCCAAATCTGTTAATTTGATTGCAATCATAAAAATAGACGAATACTTGTTGCTCGCAAACCCGGAGTCATCGATACCGCCGATCAGTTCCAGCGCTAAGTTCTCTTTACGCAGATATGATATCAAACTACCCTTCCCTTCGTGTCCCACAATATTGCCGACATAATGGATAGGAGAGGTCCTGTAATGTGCCGCCTCTGGAGGTAAACACCAGTAGAAGAAGATCTGATCGATTTCATTGACCGGTTCCACGAAATATAGTTTATTAAAGTTTGGGTTATTATCGAAAGGTTTGTCATATTTTATGTTCACTTGTTGTGAATTCTTAATCTCATTGTTAGCCACCGATGGCTTGACTCTAGAGAAGAGTTCAGTCACCCATTGTTCCAGTATTTCAATGGACTCTTGGGACTGAACCACGACATGAATATTATCCGAAGTGTAATACTTATCGACAAATTCTTTGACATATTTTTGAGTTTCCGTTCCGTTCTGTTCGGGAATTGTCTTCAGCGACAGAGCGTTACCCCAGGGGAAGGCATTGAAAGGGTGGCCCTCATTGGCCAACCCGTTAAATATCTGCTCTAAGCGCACGTCATCGTCCGGAAGGGCTGACATGTACTCCGTGTCCACCGGTTTTATCTCACGATCAATAGATTCGGGACGCAGTAAGGGATGTATAAAACAATGTGCGAGTCGTTGGAGAGCGCCGAAGAAGTGCTTCCGATGAACCTCTATCTCAAACATCGTGTACTCGTACTCCGTGTGCGCGTTCTGATACCCGCCCCGACTGGTCAGGTAGTCGTCCAAACCATTCTCTTCGGGAAACTCTTCCGAACCCATTGTAATCACGTGTTCGACGAGATGTGCCAAACCTTGAATCTCTTTAGGGTCGGCGAAACTACCGGTGCGCACGACAACAGCCATCGCCGCGAACTTCTCGTTGGAATTGGATTTCCGTTTGTGGCGACGGATCAGATTCGGTGCAATCGGTTCCTCCTTCTCATCACAAGAGGACACATCCGTCAAGTCATCGGAATTGCTCTCAGAGTCCGAGTTATCACTCAAATCACTGGACACCGAATTGGCATCTGTTGTGTCCGTAACGGCGGTGAACGTGGGGTCGGACACGAGTATGGCTTTCAGACCATTGCTTAAGACAATGTACTTATAGACCAATTTGTCATTCTTCGACTTCAACGCAAACTGAGTCCCAGTTTGTCCATCGGTTGTACCATTCGCTGAAGACATCATTGACTGCACTGTCAGACGATTGGTACGACAACTCAATAACACGGTTTGACTCAACTTTTTAAGACTTTTGTCTGAGTTGTGGATAATTACAAGAAATAATGGTTTGGTTTAAGTGTTAATGAAATGAGAAAATGATTAATAAATTGTGAAAATGAGTATAAAATGTTCAATTACATTGAAAACACTTTCTCAGACATACAGTCAATAAGTTAGACATTCATTGGATACACAACACGGCGTTTGGCACTAATTAATGGTTTGTTGTATGGTTTGTGAGTCCAATAAAAATACAAATTGAGTCAATATTTAGTGAATTAAATGCAATTAAATCGTGAGTTTTGTGGCAAATGTAGTGACAGTGAGAGAGACACGACTGGTGTGTCTGTATTGGTGTCGACCTCTACTCAAAGCTTTCGTAATATTAAACGTCAGCTGAAAGTGAGACACAAATCGTGTTATGATTTGTGAGACAATTAATACATTTTAGTTGCAATTATAATAACTGTAATAATAGTTGACTTATTATGTGATTATAATATTGACTACAAATCATTGAAGTGTGATATTTGTTAGACTTTGTCTTGTTTTCCATACAATCGTTGTCTGCAATGTTGAGAGCAATGAGTGGTTTATAAAGAAATGTAAACAATCTATGAGTGGATTATCTGGCGATTAAATTGTGGCCAAAATGTTGGCTCAGACTCACCGGATGATAGGTCTGTGCTCGAGCGCCAACTTCATCAACGCTGCCGACCGTATAATTATGCCGATGGCTATCATATCAATGGGCGATCAGTTCCAGTGGTCGCTCTACTGGCAGGGATGGGTCTTAAGTGCTTTCGCCTTTGGCTATATCACTAGTCAGGTACCACTTGCACACCACCATCACCGCCACCCACACTATCACTCGATGCACACCAAGAGTGTCCCTTATATGCCCTCCCATTCAATCCGATTGTCAAATATGTAACCAAAACACCATTTCCTGTCTCTGTTCCCAAATCAGGTCATCGGAGCGACCGCTGCCTCAAAGTTTGGCGGAAAGACTGTATTGACTTCCGCTGTGTTCTTGTGGTCTGTTTTTGTTTGAAAAATACTTTTTTAAACATATTTACTGACAACACTTCCCATTGAATTGCAGGTCAGTCTCGACACTCATAACACCATTGGTTGCCTCGCGTTTAGATTTGCTTATCATATGTCGAGTTGTCTTAGGACTGGGAGAAGGATTAGGTCTGACATCGACTCCATAATCATAAGTGCGATCATTCATTACAATAGGTCTCTCCTCTGACCACAGGTTTGCCCACAATATTCCATATCTTCGCGCATTCAGTTCCCGTTCCCGAGAGGTCCCGAGCCTTTGGTTATTTAGTGGGCGCCGGAACTATTGGACAGACAGTCGCAGCCCTGATTTGTCCGCATCTTCCCTGGGAATGGATGTTCTATACGTTCGGAACTCTTGGAATCGTTTGGGTATTGGTTTGGATTGTCTTGTATTCGGAGGTGAAAGACGTGGGCGAAGACGAACTTCCGTTAGTGTATCCCAAAGTGAACTCAAAGAACGTGCGATGGATTCAATTCATAAGCCATTGGCCTCTATGGGCCATATATATCGCGCACTTTGCCATGAATTGGTCCAATTATATAATCATGCAGTGGTTGCCCACCTATTTGGCCAGAAATCTTGGCGCCGATAAAGAGAGTATAAGCCTAACGGCTGTGCCTTATATTGTCAACTCTATGCTAGGAGTGGGTCAGTAGTCGTCTCAGTATTAGTTTAGATACCATTTGTGACCATTTATTTGTCCACTCAGTGGCCGGACATATGGCCGACGGCCTGATCGTCAGGAAGTGGACCGTCCTATCGGTGCGCCGACTCATGACTGTAATCGGTTTGATTGGACCCGCAATCTGTTTACTGCTATTCAGTTCAATGAAGAGTCTATTGTTCGCTGTTGTGTTTGTGTCGCTTTCGATGGCCTTATGTTCATTCAATAGCGCCGGCCATCTGTCCAATCACGCAGATGTGGCCCCAAATCACGCGGGAATCACTTTCGCGGTTTCCAACACATTGGCTACTATTCCGGGAATACTTTGCGGTCCATTGACCGCCGAATTGGTGACCCAATCGCACGGCCGTTGGTTCCCAGTGTTTATAGTGGCGGCCAGTATTAACTTCGTGGGCGCCGTCATCTACGCGAGTCAGAGCTCTGCCTCGCAGACCATCTGATCTTCAGATTTTGTATTTTTTAAATCTATTCCTTGTTATCACTGGTTATACATTATAAAAGTGTTTGCATTAAATTATTTGTAAATAAAAAATTTGTTTATAAAATCATAAAAATCCATTTCATTGACAGCGAGTCTTAGATCTTAAATAATAAGCGAATAATTAGTTTACATTTAAATCATTTATTCATTTATTTGTAATTAAAACCTAAAGTTTTTATAACTTTTGTTACAAAATATCTACAAATAATACAAACAGTTGTCTGCGAAGGGAGTGTTGGATCAGATGGTGAAGGACTCACCGCAACCGCACATTCCCTTCACATTCGGGTTATTGAAGACAAACTCTGAAGAGAGCTTTGTTTCGATGAAATCCATTTCAGTGCCCAATAGAGACAACTGTGCCTTCGAGTCAATCAACACACGAACACCTATTCAGTGGTCAACACATGAATCACATGCAATAGATCCCAAGTGTCATCAGCCATACCCTCCTGAAGCACCTCTTCATCCATCTTCAGCCTCTCCTTTGCGTATTCGAGTGAATAACTCAATCCATTACAACCTCTTTGTTTGACACCAATCCTCAGTCCGATCTGTCCATCCATTCACACATTCAGTCAAAACCAGACAATCACTCAAACCATTCATTACTCACGACATCATCTTTACCGGCCGTTAGCTCTTTGATGCGATTGATGGCCGCAGAGGTCTAGACATACAAGACATTCAAGTGTTTAAAAAAGTTTTAAAGATATTTCAAGACTTTCAATACCAAAACAATGGCGGATCTGTTGGACACGAATTTCTTGGATTTGTTGAGTGAGTTGACGGCCCGAACCGTCGCCGAAAAGCCGTTCACTGATTTGGACATCAATTCAATGCAAACGATTGGATCAAGTCTTCAACAAAAGTCTTCTGTAAACACGAGTCATATGTTTACCAAATGTGATCACTTCTTGACGTAAATAACGTCTCATTTGATTCTTACCATAAGAAGAATCACTCATTTGATCCGATCTCGTGTCCAAATCATTGATCATTTCAAGTGATTATTTGTGTCACATTCACACCAATCAACTCATTAGTTGTCTAATCAATTCATTTACACTGAAATGCATTCAAACTGTTTGTTATCGATAAGATTGATAAGTATTTCCAGAATATTCTGTGAGATATCGATTCAATTATTGCTGTTTTTTGTACCTAGTACCTAGTACCTATTAATATCCCTACAGTATTATAGAATAAGGTTCGCAAATATAGCTTGTTAAAACCTTGTTTTTATAGCTTGTTATTATAGAATAGGGTTAAAGTTATTTAATAAATAAATTTTTAGCATGCTAATTTAGTCACAATTCAGTTTATTTATTGTTTAAAGTGAATTCATAATTGAAAACATAAGACCACTAATGAGTATACAGATTATATTTAGGCGATTAGTATGTGATAGATATGGAGAAAAAAGTTAATCAAAAAATATTTGTTATAATGGTTTGAAATAGTTTAGGCCACGGATATCATTATGCCTCCAAAATCTCGATCTCATTCTTAATGTTATTTCGGGCTTTGGTTTCGTATTTGTCGTTAAATTCTTGAGTGGAATATATTTTGGGAATTTCTAGTAAGGACTTCAGAACCTATCAGTTCAATTAGAAAGTAAAAGTGAGCTTGGTATTAATTAATAATTATCTGAAAATCATTGAACTTACTTTTGCACGAATTTGCTTATAAGTGGTTTCAGACATGAATTCATACTCTTCTCGGATCCGTAGGGCATAAATGGTGTAGTCTTTTATGACATTTCAAATACTGTTTAGACGTAATCTAAATAATTATTTTTAATCACTTACTGTCAGAATCTGCGCCCAAATAACTCAAATCAAAATCAAGGAAATAATGTTTGTCTTCAGTTCCGACGATTGTTTCAGTTTTGTGTTCTTCAGTCAAATGGGTTTTTGTTAAAAGTATTAATTCTATCACTTCTGTATAGATTGGATTTGCCTACAAATTGTAAATTGTTAATGTAATGCTAATACAGTATAATATATTATATCATAAAAAATATGTCACAATTCATACATCGCTAATATCGGCTTCTTTTGCAAATTGTTTGAATAAATCGATGCTTTTTTCTTCGTTGTCCACACATTTCGGATCATAACTTAAACTGAATTATAAATTCAATATTTGAATAATAAAAGTAAAATTTTATGAATTAAATTTAATTACTTTTTAAAAAATATGGCATAAGAGACACTTCTAGCAGACTTGATCTTATTCTGCAAACAATTAGATTTATAAGATTCACGAATAATTAGAGTGAAGAGAGACTATGACTATGACTGACCTGATTCTCATCCAAATGAATGAACATCTTTGCGATGTGATTGAGATCATAATGTTTTCTCAATTGATTGTCTTTGTACTCACATTCGATGGTTTGCCACCACTTGTCCCTAACATCAGTCTTAATACTCTCATTGAGAACACTCCACAATTGCTTCAACTTTTCATTCACTTCTGAGCCCATTATTAATGAATTCAAAGTTTAATGTTTGAAACAAAATTAATTTATAATTTTGTATATTTTTAAAAACAATATTTTAGGCAAATATGTGAATAGAAGAAGCGACTGATTACTGACTCGTGAGGAATGTCTGGCGCCTAACGTATTGATCGCTGAATATTACGTAAACAAGAAAATCAATAATCTGTGCGTAAACTCAACAAATTCTGTGACTTTTAAAACACACAAACTATATATCAAATCATTTGGTCCTTAAATTGAATGTGAAAATAGTTTTAATTCTAATATTTATTCTTATATAAATTTTTACATAAATTATAATAATACAAATTTCAGATTACAATGTATTGTATTATACTGTAGATATACAGAGCATATAAAACTGATATTTTCAAGTTAATAGTTGCAAGACATCACAAAAATGTATTTTTTAATTCATTAAATAAAATAATTTAGTTATCATTTTGTGATTTATTTAAGTCTTTGAACGATTGAAGCGTTCGCTAGATTTGCGGCTTCGATGGTAAGGCTCTCATCTGCGAGTTCTTTGTTGGGGAATGTGGTCATCAGCACGAAGTTCTGTGCAGAGTATGCCGGACGAGAGCTACAGATATATTGTCTGATGTGAGCGATAGTATGAACTAAATTTAGTTTTACGACCAAACTATACAAACAAAACAATTGAAGCAAACAATTAGTTTTAAACCACTTTAAAAACTGTGATTTCAATACAAACCGCGATCCGTCGGACAGTCGTATCTGAATACTAGTGGTGGGAAGGCTTGGGTTCACATTCAGATTGTTCAGCGCTTCCGCTTCAGACACTTTGGGATCCGTCGTCGCATTGGACTGAGTATTAGTTGTGACCACTTCTGCGGTCGGATTTCCCAAACGGAATCCCTCGCCAGCGAAGGCCTGAACACGTCTCTTAGGGGCGACGTATGGCTCAGTCTTGTGGTCCTCGAGATTTAAATGCACTTCATTTCCACCCGATTCTCGCGTCAGTTCTCTGGGAATCTCTCCGCGACCAACAGATTTCAAAAACTCTTCGTTTTGCGGGTCTTTGTAATCCCTGAGAGGGCCGTCGTCTACACTGAACCCATTGCTCCACAACTTCAACACTCGGTCCGGATTTGGTTGTCTCTGTGGTAGGGGTGGGCCCGCAATGGACGTCGACTCCTGCGAAGTAGAGCCCAGTTTAAAGCCGGTGCCCCCGAAGGCGTGCACTCGACTCTTGGGTTTGGCCGCCTCTTCGCTCGGGTCGACCACTTCTGCGCCGTGTTCTCTGGCACTGGAGAACAGGTTCTTAACCAATTCGCCCGCATTCTTGTGCCTCTTTGGGCCCAATATATTCTGTCCGCTCTGTTCAGAACCGCCCGCAAAGAAGGTCTGCCCCTCTTCTCCACTCGACTCTCCCGAGTCCTCTTCACCTCGAAGTGAGTCCAAAGTCGCGAAATTGGAGGTTGGCTTCGGTCGCGACTCACTTTTGGCGGCTTTGGGAGCACTTGTGGGCAGAGGCGGGTCCGGCAGAGCAACCATTTCGTCGCTGGAGTTGGAGTTCGTGTCAACGATGGGTCGATTGCCGAGCATTTGCTGCAACTGTTGTGCCCTTTGCTGCTCTTCAGCCGTATGCGTGTCGTGCTGTCCATCGCCCGGCATGTCCTCGAAGAATGAACGCACTGCCAACTGATCCACAGGTATGGTTAGACTCACTCACAGTACTGACAACACATTACTGTTATCATATCATGTCATGTCATGCCATACCTCCAGATTCCATTGCGAAGACTCTAAGTATAGCTGACCTCTCGATGGCTCCACACCTGTGCCACCAATTCATGAGACAATCGGTTAAATGAGATGACAATCAAAGAGTTGACAAAAGATTTCAATACCCGTTATATTGCAGAAGTTGGAGATCAATGAATCCTTGTCCTCAGGAGTGGAATCCATTGTCTGTCGTGAGATTTAAATGGATTGTAAAATGTGATCACAATTAGTGCCAAATTGTGGTTAAATTGACTGCAATTGACACTCAATTAACTGCAAGTCATTCACACAAACACTGTTCACGAGTCAGTCAATGCTTTCATGCATTCAGCGCACGGTTTATATGTATTGCACGCAAACCAACATTACATCCAAATTACATAATGTCGTCATCTTTTTGTATTTGTCTCTTGTAATCAGTTTATTAGTTAAAAGCATTTTTAATTAATTCATACATGCTCGATTACACATCAAAATACAGTCAATTAAGATTTACTTATAAAACACAAGAAAAAGTGTGCAAAAAGTATGTTTATTGGATAAATGATGGCAAAAAGTTGTGTCAGAAGTGGGATTCGAACCCACGCCCCCCTAGAGAGACTGCGACCTGAACGCAGCGCCTTAGACCACTCGGCCATCCTGACGAGCACTTAGACAGCTGTCCACAACACATACTGTAGTATTGGTTCATTGCATAAGTGCTGTATTCTCTACACGTGATTGTGTTTACGGTTTTGTCGTGTTTTTCAGCGACGAGTCATTCATTCAAACGTTTCAATGCTTTTCACAATTAGTGACACATTTGTCGTGTTTTGTGATCACAATCACCGCAAAGACTGTCCACAACTCACTCTATTTGGTCTCAAATGTGCCACAAAGACAGCCATCGATATCGATGTCAACGACATTACCGCCGACAATGCAAAGCAATTGCCGACAAATGATTACCAAATAATTTGCGGTAATCTTAGCCAAAGAGGCGATTATTTGGCGGTTTGTGACAATCGGAAGAATCTGATTGTCTTTGAATTGGCGGACAATCGTTGGACACAAATATTTCGGACAAAAGTGTCGCGAAATTGCATTAAAGTGTTACACGCCCCCCTAGAGAGACTGCGACCTGAACGCAGCGCCTTAGACCACTCGGCCATCCTGACGAGCACTTAGACAGCTGTCCACAACACATACTGTAGTATTGGTTCATTGCATAAGTGCTGTATTCCCTACACGTGATTGTGTTTACGGTTTTGTCGTGTTTTTGAGCGACGAGTCATTCATTCAAACGTTTCAATGCTTTTCACAATTAGTGACACATTTGTCGTGTTTTGTGATTACAATCACCGCAAAGACTGTCCACAACTCACTCTATTTGGTCTCAAATGTGCCACAAAGACAGCCATCGATGTCGATATCAACGACATTATCGCCGACAATGCAAAGCAATTGCCGACAAATGATTACCAAATAATTTGCGGCAATTTTAGCCAAAGAGGCGATTATTTGGCGGTTTGTGACAATCGGAAGAATCTGATTGTCTTTGAATTGGCGGACAATCGTTGGACACAAATATTTCGGACAAAAGTGTCGCGAAATTGCATTAAAGTGTTGTTCTCGTTGACCAAGAAGTCGGTGATTTGTGGCCATAAATCGGGTGATGTCTTTGAGCACGACTTTGGCGCCGGAAGCGATGGATCAGTTGGCGGTCGACTGCTCTTAGGCCACTGTTCGATGCTTTTGGATTTGATCCAAACGTGTGACTCGAAGTACTTGATTACCAGCGATCGGGACGAGAAGATCCGGGTCTCCCACTATCCCAACACTTATAACATTGAGAGCTATTGTTTGGGACACAAAGAGTTTGTCGCATCTATTGATACCATTAATAACGAGACAATAGTGTCTGGTTCTGGAGATGGATCCATACGTGTGTGGAATGCATTGGACGGCAAACAGGTGTCTGTCCTCATGTGTGACCCAAACGAGACAATTGACACGAATGGCAAAAGTGGGACTCAATTCCCGGTTAAGAAATTAGTGACAAATGATAGAAGAGATGCAAACCTATTGAGTGTCTCTTTCTATAAGCAGAATATGATTAAAGTTTTCTCAATCGACTCGTTATCACTGAAACTGATCCATACATTGGCTTTAGATGAAGAGCCCATTGATATAGAGTTTGATAGGAATAGAAGTGATATCTTATGGGTTGTGTCAGCGAAGGCTCAAAATATGGTAACTGTTTATGAGATCAGTTCAACGAATATAACAAAAGCAAACATTTATGAGAATGTAATCAAAGAACTGAATGCCAGTGAAGGACTTGAAAGCAATTGTGTGAATGAGAGTAAAGATAGCGTTTTGGACGGACTCTACAAACACTGGTTTAATAACGTCGAGACATATCTCCAGAAGAAACTCGAGAGACAGGAAGAAGTGAACAAAAAGAAAAAGTTTTGCAAATATTAGCCTTCAGTTCAGTCACTCGTTTCAATGCATTTGGTTTTAATTGTTTGCACTCTTTTTATTTCCTAAAATTTATGTATTTTTCGTAATAAAGAGTTTTTTCGAGAACTTTGTTTTCCTTTTGGTCTCATCTAATGATTATTAAATAAAATACATATCAATTAAATAAGGAATTAATGATTTATACAAAATTATCAGTGTATTTGTGGAGTGAGCGATCAAATAGTTGTGATATGACATTGATAACTACATAGAAATTCACAGAGAATTGTATCTATGAGTTATAATTATAGTTATAATTTTTTTAGCGTGTATTAAATGCGAATAACAAACAATATTTACTAAAATTGTCAATAAATTGAAAACAAATTATAATTACTTGTGTAACAAAACCCTTACGAAAAGTGTAGAAATAGTGCGAAACATTTGCAAAGCCATAGATTGTTGGCATTGCTCAATGGGTGTGCAATCCCTGGTCTCCCCCTCCATACCAGTCAATGAGTGAATGGACTGAACTGTTGACAACAGTTTGTGTGATTGTCTTGTGGTTACATTTGCACTAAATCTACACATCTATTACATTATCGCTACTAAATTGCACTTAACATACACTTATGTCTCACAATTGATCCCGAATTGTCTTCATGAGTGATTCCCATTTGACAATAAATCCGTAGAAATGAGTAATATTTACATTCAAGAGCCGCCAACTAATGGCAAAGTACGTCTTCAGCTGATCCACTCATATATCAATTAATGGTATCTTTAAAGTGAATGCAATTAATATTGTTTTGTCTCTTATTTAAGGTATTATTGAAGACAAGTGTGGGTGACATCGACATCGAGTTGTGGTCACGAGAGTGTCCGAAGGCGTGCAGAAACTTCATTCAGTTATGTCTTGAAGGCTATTACGACAACAATATCTTCCATCGTCTGGTCAAAGGGTTTATCGTTCAGACGGGAGACCCCACGGGAACCGGAATGGGAGGCGAGTCTGCCTTTGGACAGCCCTTCAAAGATGAGTTCCACTCGAGGCTGCGGTTCGTGCGAAGAGGTCTGGTAGCCATGGCTAACAGTGGCGTCAAAGACGACAACACGAGTCAGTTCTTCTTCACACTGGACTCGTGTCCGGAACTCCAGAATAAACACACGATCTTCGGGAAAGTGACCGGAAATACCATCTATAATATGATTAAATTGGATGAAAGCCAAGTCGACCAAAACGAGAGGCCGTTATTCCCACACAAAATCAATTCAACGGAAATCCTTTTGAATCCCTTTCCGGATATCGTTCCCCGAATGAAGGAGAAGAAGGTCGAGAAAGTGGAGGAGAAGTCCAAATCGAAGGCAACGAAAAACTTTAGTCTCCTTTCGTTCGGCGAAGAGGCCGAAGAAGAAGAGGAGGAAGTGATGAAAACGGCGCAAGAGTTTCGCGGAAAGAGTAAAAGTAGTCACGATTTGCTTAAAGATGACCCCAAACTCAGTGCTCTGCCCGCTGTCGACACCAATGAGTTGATGACTTCGGACGAAGACATCGAAGACAAGAAAGACAATCAGACAGAGGATAGCAGTGAACAGAAGAGCGAGAGATTGGATCGAATCAAAGCTAAGCTCAAGAAAGGCGTGAAGGAAGAGAAAACTGAGGAAATTCTGGACAAAGACGAGGAGGAGTTCTTCGAGAACGAGAAACGACTAAAACTCGAGAAACAGGACTCGTGTCCGCTGTAAGCATCCAATGATTTGTTGTTTTTAATACTTTTTGTTTAATTATTGAAATTCTATTCAAAGACTTAAAGTGAGGGATGAATTCAAGGCATTGAAGAGACAGATGTGCGCTGAGCTCAAGAAGAAGTGCGAGAAAGTAACCAAATGTAAGATCTATGACAACCCGGCCGTCCAAGAGTTCATAGAGGAGGCCAAGAAGTATAAGGAGGCGTCCAGTAATTTGCCTAAAAAGGGTTGTCCCAAACGAGAATCATTGGTATAGTATTTGTTTGCAATTAGCAATAACTGTAATTATAATGACGTTTGTATTCATTGAATGTCTTTTGGCACATAAAGTGTATGCAATTATTAGAGAAATTCAAGACTCGTCTCTTGACTACGAAAGAGAGAAAAACCTCGGAGTCGGAGGAAAAAGAGGGCAACACATCATCCGATTGGCTCTCACATCACCTCCAATGCCAGAAAGAGGAGACCATTCTGGCCAAAGACGCCAACTTAAGGAACGAAGAGGACTGGTATGACATCTATGACCCCAGAAATCCCATCAATAAGAGGCGGCGCGAAGAGGGGCTCGAGAAGAATGTGAAGAAACCTCGCGTTAAATAATTGTTTCGATTTCATTATAAATACTTTCATAGAAACCATATTATTATCGATTGTTTTCTAAGATTTATTTTTACGCTTTCAGACAATTTATCACTTATTTATCACTTCCAATGACTACAGAATACATTTGAAGATTTCTTTTTTCAGTAACACTATTGTGATATTAAACTGTGAATTCATTTGGTGTGTTATCCTGACTGTGAAACTTTACAATAACTCAACACTCGATAATTAACTACCGATTGGCATAGATTTAATTAGAATTAATTAGGTTTAATATACAAAGATTGGGAATTATAAGATTATAAATATTTTTATTTATTTTTGGGATTTTATTAACGTCACTTTATACTTTCGTTTTGTTTCAACCAGATTTTACAGTCAATTGGATACTAAATTGACATTTATAACAATTTATCAAATGGTTAAGTTATTTGTAGATAAGTAACTATATTGACTTAAACTATAAATAGTGTAAACGAGATAATATTAAGACATGTTCTGTAATTTCACCCAAAAATTCTGATGTAAACAGTAATAATTATGTATTAAATTTACTGTAAAGATTTCATTTTGATATTTAATAAACAATTGAGAAATTTATGAAACCTATATAGTATATAAGTTACTCCTATTCTCGCTCACTTAACATATTATTTATTCAATAAAATTGACGCATGTTAAAAATTAAGTTATTGTAAGTTTTTATCAGATAGTTACTTGCAAAAAATGAAAAATAATACTCATGCTTGTGTTGAATAACATTATTTTGTGGAATAACGGTGAAAACTAATTTGAACGGTATAAATAATTTGCAACTATCAATACAAGAATGAAACCTTTGTGAATATTGTATAAAACTATAGGGTTTTGTTTTGTACACATCCATTGGTTTACTGCATTACTATATTGGGATGGGAGGGAATGGGAGAGAATTACGGTAAAGCTAAATTCATGATGAACAAATTTGTCATAAGCGTTGCGAACGTCAAACATACAGAATAATAATTGAAACATGCTACTAGTATATCTAAGATTTATTTGATGAAACCCACTCAAATGTAAGACTAGGGTTGATTAATGGTAATATAATTTGATTTGTTATAATTGATTTAATTTAAAAAGAATTTATAGATTTGATTTAAAAAATATTAGTAAACGCCAATTGTTAAAACATTTGTTCATTTGACTCAAATTACTCTCTGAATTGATGTTAACTGTATTTTGACAATATTTGGGTTTCATATGGTTTTTACTTAACTTACTAACGTTATTGAAGACCAAATTCACTATTCTCAAGAGAACTGACGTTACATTCCTACAGACGTTAGCTCACTATTCCTTTAACTAAAAGAGATATGCAATAGTTCACTGCATTGTTGGAGTCTTTATGGCAACGAAAGCTCACAAAACCTCACTTTTAGGTAATAATGCTTTAAATAGGATTATGCGATGCGTTGACTCGCATTCAAAATACTGTAAGATTTGTGGCTTAAATAAAATCGTTTGTTTAGAACTTAATTATTTGCTAAACGACCAGAATTTCAAACTATAGACAAGACTGTAATAGTTAGTGATATACACTATAACTGGAAAACTGCGAATTCAATTGTATTTGATGTCAATCTTAATGGTCTAGAACTTTGGACACACTTTGGACATATAGCCCTGGTATGAGTGCTCATCCTATTTAAGCAATTTATATGATTTTTCTCATGCATTTTAACGGCATTTAACTCCTAAACTAAACGAATGCATACGTGAGTTCACAATTTACTGCAATAACTATTAAACATCAAAATCTGAAAAACAAACAATCGTTACATTGAATGTAAATTCAAGGATTTAAATGATTTAACAATACATCGAAAACTCTATTCTATGAGTTCTATACAACTTTTTAATCAAATATTCTATTATCTAAATGTATAATAATTTTTTTATTATTTAAAATATAATCTCTTTTGTCAATTGATGAGAGAGAGAGAGAGAGCATCCACTTGTAAGCTGATGAGTAAAATGTGAACAATATTTTTATTCTGAGATTATTTCCATAATAAGTGATGCGATCGACACATCTCTGTAAACAAAGATTAATTCAATTGCGTTCACGAGTTTGGGATCAACTCATAACAGAAATAAATAGAGAATAAAGTCGTGAATAATATTGTATTTTATATTCTCGTATAGTTTTACAATAGGGTATCGACTTAACCGAGTTTAGAGAGCAGTAAAAAACAGTTTTCCAAACGCCTGGCAAACCGCTCTCCTCTAGAAATAAGGGGAGATCTGGTGTTCAATGGTCTGGCAATGGGCTGCACGCGACTCGACGTGCGCGTCTACCCCCACTCCCTATCACTTTGCTATCGGCCCTCACATACTATTTATTGCCATTCAATCACTCGTAAAACAGAGATCTTATGCTTTGCAACACTTTTCATAATTTCCTCAATCAATGTTCGCACAAATTCGCGATTAATTTCCTTTCAATAAACGCTTTTTCATTGAAGTGACGAAACCATGAATTTATAAATATAGGGAAAGGCGTGCGACTCGTGAGTATCGCACAGCTCTTATCAAAACCATTAGAAATATGGCTTTGATTCGCATAGAAAGGCGACTATGGTTTGGGTCACTTCACACCTAAACCATTATGAAATACTCATATTTATTGAATAGCATGTCATTTATTATGATAACAATACATCAGAATAGAAAAGAAATGTTAGCTTGGGCATTCAATTTGTGAACTCAACTGTATATTTATAGCAGTTTTCTTCAAATTTAATGTACAGTAAGTTTTACATTAGATTCTCAAAGGCTTCTCATCATCCAAGTCAGTCCGTGTGATTGTATGTAAATGTTTGTCCACTTATTTTCAACACTCAATCGATTCTGTCTCTTAAATCTTATTAATCGACACTTCAATCTAATACACGTATAAATACTATGTTAACAAGTCATTCAATCGCTTGACACAAACATTTCGATTTTATGACTCAAAAGTGATGATCGGTGTCGGCTTCCGAAGCACTGCTGAGAGTGGACTCATCCGAAGTGATGAGAAGCGGAGAATCGCAGTCATTAAGTGGTGAACTCGAAGGAGACGCCTGTCCTATATTGCAGTCCACATAATATCTCCGATTTCTGTGGCTTTGTTTCATTTGTTGCTTATGTCTGCTATGATCTGATTTACTGAATCTCTTCTTATCGTGAGAACTGTTCCTAATGAGTGTTAAATCAGATTTCTTGGACACCATTTCGACGGGCAGACCCTCCTCTTGCTTTTGATAGTCGAGAACAGCCATAAGAAGTTTGATGTATTTGATGGCAAGTCTGAGGATTTCATTTTTCGACTCGAAAAATAGCCCACCTATTCACCCGTGTTCCGCAGACTCCAGCCGCTTCCGGGGCAAGTGCAAGACAACGGACGTCACCTGTCGTGAAGGTAAGTTAACATCGTTATGAAGTGCCGAATCTAACAGACAACACTTACCTCCAGCGCTCTCTACTATTGGTGAATATACGGCGCACAGCCTTTCGTGGCACTGATGGCACGCAATCCAATGTCTTTGTAGACGTGCCTATAGTTTACAATCAAATTTTCTCATTTAATACCATATGTCATAGATTTTGATTTAGTTTCACTAATTATCGAAATTTCTTCAAAATAATAATTAATGTAAATATATAATATACGGTAATCATAAAAATAGATAAAAACATTTCAGTACATTAACATATGGAATCATTTAATAGGTGCAATAATTGTTTAGAAAACCTGAAATTTCATTTTAAAAATCATTCGTTAATGTTAAAATTATTATTATAACTAATATCAGTTTCTGTACTCCTGTCTAATTACACACATTTGTTACCAAACTTATCTTTTTATTTATTACTTTATGGTAAACGCCACTAAAGGCTTACGGAAGAAAATACTTCCTTAGCTACAAAAACTTGCTATCCGCTTAACCAACGCTTAAACATACTTCACAGCGTCATATGATATGATGAGTGCATTCTTTGGAACTGATGTGAAGAGATGGAAGTATTATTCATATTGACTGAAGCGGTGGACCAGTCCTCGAGATCTTTGAGTTTAGTTCTATTGGAAGTGATGGTTGAGTGTGAATGGGATGTCATTGGGTTGTGCTCTGCAATCAAATGGAGTCAAGTGTGGCATTAAATACTCGAAACCAATGAATGAATAAATTGAGTGAGAAATGAGTCAATACTTTGGCTACACTTTAATCCTTTGGAATTCAAGTCATTAGTGGTGGCAAAGAGTTCCTCGTTATCTGTCATCTCATTCTTGACGTCTCCGACCACTGACGGAGTGCCTAATGAAGAGCCACTGGTTGTCGAGTAAGGAGTAGTAGTTGTGGTCGAGTCTGAAAGGGCCTCCTCTTCGAAATCGGATACGACTGATCCGCCAGATCTACCAGACCTTCCAGACCTGCCAGACCTACCACACTCTGATGTGCCCAACGGCTCCGATATGTCTTCTCTGGCTATACTACTACTGCTTCCACAGCTCTCTTCGTCATAATTATCATTATCCGAGAGCTGGCCATTCATTTCAAAGCAGTTTTGTCTTTTAAAATGCTTTTTTGACATTTTCTTTAAACACTTTGCGATTTGTTAACTAATGACTAGTAGTTGTAATGTTGAGCGAAATGTTTCACTCAATCGAAACGTTTGGCAATGATTTAAGTGATCAGAATGAGAGGATAGTTAGCAAAAAGTATAGTATAGTTGCCATAAGTTGGTGATGATTGTGATTCTGGGCGGTCCTATGACTGCATTGAAAATGCGCTAACATTACAACTTTCGACACTCTCTCCACACTTGGCTAACACTCTCTCACATCATATGAAACATTACATTCTTATTCTGGAGTCCAGAATCTGGAGTCAATATAATGTAATGCTTTTCACTAATGTATTGATTGCTCTCAACAGGCATTCCATTGGCTGCACATAACTTATGTGAACATCACTTATAACACACATTCTTAACATCACTTCCAATACATTACCCAAAGATAACGATTGCTTTTAATTAGAAATCAATATTCAAATGAACTGGCTCACCATAGGGCATGTCATTTAGTATTCATTATTTCTATTCTAATATTTTAACCCAATTTTTAAAATTGCTAATATTTTCTGGTAGATACTGTATTCTCGATCTAAAAAGTATGACACATTAAAAAATAAACAAGGTAGAGTACACTATTGAATATGTATACTATTGAGATCCATTAGAAAATATACATTTATTATTCACAAATTCCTAATCAATGCATATTTAAGTCAATTATACCCCTTATTGGTAGACATATGAGACAAATATGAAAATGTGTTTCAAATTATACTAATAATGCATTCATTGCTTTCATTTCACTGTATTTGTGGTTCTCTTGGGTTGGGATCAGCTTTTCATTGCATTTATAATTAACACAACATTTAGACATTACATCCTATGATAGAAATACATGTATTCAATATATCAATTCATCACTTATTCACATGCTAATTCAAATCGTGTACAGTGTATTCATGTACCAAAATACTCTGGGCTATTTATATTATGAGAGAGAGAGAGAGAGAGAGAGATAGAGAGAGAGAGAGAGAGAGAGAGAGATTGTGATGGCATGTGATTGTGATACTATTGTCTCTTATTTGCGATTCTTATATTCATCTAATGGTGTATATAATGAATGAATATAATTGTAATGCAGTAATGGTTTCATTGATCACTCATTGTATGCATCTATGAATTGGTGGCAATGAATGACAAGTGTATGGAAGCAGTACTCTATGACTGACTGTCTGTTCCATAGATTGACACAATGAGTAAAACTTAGTGTTCTGTGAGTATTCTTTGAGCCAATGAGTGGAGTGAACGGCAACTGATGTGTGCACTGATTGGTCGCACTCATGGTTCGAATTCGTGGTGTTGTGGCTGACAGTGCGTGCATTTCATGAGCGATTGATTGTCTCAAAAGTGGTGAACTGTTTGATGAAGACATGTATTGGACGGTCGGACACTGTCAACAGACCACGTGTGCACACAGTGGCCACAGTTGGCGATGGCTCACAGACCCACAGCCACACCACTTCCAGCATCAATGCAATCCCTTCCAAGAGACCATTGCTTTCGATGGCTTTGTCTTCAAGTACGACAACCACTTCTTGGATGAGTTAAGACAACTGTCCACTGAGTTGATGGTCTACAGCACCGATGAGTCGAGACTCAAGTCGCGCGTCTTCGGCCACGCAATCTGAGACGCCTGGTAACTCACGCTCTTCTCTGTTGAGTAACTCTTCTAGCTGCGAAAGCGGTTTTGGTAACTGGTGAAGAACTCGGAGTTCTGTGGCTTGCGAAGGTTACGCTGGCGTCGACGGTTACAGTCGTCCCAAGCGTTCACTCAAAACTCCACTCAAGACACGAATGGCAACCTCACGAGTGCTCACGTGATCGCTGAGACCAACGGCGGACACTCGACACACACTCAGACAACACCTCCTGAGCCCCACTCCAGACACGCCTTCACTCATGAGATCCCGATATTTATTCAGCAATTCATTGAATCCATTAATAGAGAGGATTACAGATTCAGTCAAATCAATGACATCTCCTCTTCAGACAACATCGAGACATCCACTCAAAGCCAAGACTTTGAATCCACTGCTGAGCCAACTACGAGTCAATTGGACCCCAATTGCGATACTCTTCAGGTATTGAATGCTATTTACGATAAGATTTAAAACTTATTCAAAGTTTGCTTTCATTTCAATTGGTGTCCATTTGTGACACACGTCTGCCTGAATGGATGAATGGATC